AATGTTTCAACAAATAAATATCAAAATTAATTTAGTTTAATTTTTTTCACTGATATTTTCTATACATGTTTAAAAATACATTAAACTTTGATGCAATTACGGAAGTGGAAAAGAGACCTTGTGGCAGTTAACGATCAAAGTACTGTTTCTTTTGGAAATTATCTTGTGTCAATAATTGTAATTAATTTTTACGTTTCATAATATGGTCAAGGATTTAATTACTTGATTACTGTTACGTACATGTGAGCATAAGATAATTATTATCAGGGAATCCCGGCACTCGGATCAAACGCATTAAAGTAAAAGAAGAAAAAACTTGGACAAAAAATGAGTAATTGCGAAACGGAAAATAATAATTTCGAAAGTATTTTATTTATTAAGAATTCAACCATGAATGAATTTTGTTTTGTTATTGCAAATTATAATTTCAATTTGTTTAAAGTGTAAAATTTAGTAAGAAAAGTAATTGTGTTTGATGTGATGCAAATATATGAATCGAAATATGTTTTAATAATTGGAGTAAAGAAACTGTTTGACATTGAGTCGAATATATGATTCTTCGTGATCGAGATGTTATTTAATGGGACATGAAACTATTGAGGCTAATTTCGATTTGTTTAGAGTAATTGTACGTAAGCGTAATGCGGGCAGACTATAGGAGTATTGGTCTGATGGATGTGAATGGAGCCGGAGGTGGCACGTGGACAATAAGTTCATTATCACAGCGCGAGAAAGTCCAGAACCATCCAAACAAATCCATTACTCGCAATCAAGATAATTGAAGATTTACAATTGGAATTAGTGTCGAGTGGATTGCATAGGTTGACGACTACACATTGAACGCAAAGAAGAGCAACAAACCGAACGGGAAAATATTGGGACTTCTGTTTGCGCCCAATTCACAAAGAAGAGTTGCTAAACGGAGGACGAAAAAAAAAGAGACGTCTTTTTGAAAGTATCGAAACGTTCTACATTATTATTAAAAGCGTGTCGAAACAAGACGGACGAGGTTTGCATTTTCATTAGCGACCGCAATTCGAAAAGCGAACAATTAAATATATATATATATATTTGACGTATGTTAAGTGGTTACGAAATCCACGGGCCGAGAAACCCTTTTGCGTGCTCGTCGTTGGCGCCGCCGATAACGAGAACACGTTCCTCTGATTACGATCTGCCTGTTTTCTCGGCGATTTAGAATAATTCATAAACAAATAGCGCGCCGTGTTATCACGACACGTTTTCGCATTACCTGTGTACTTTGTTTTGTTTCCCCACTACGCCTTTCCACTGTTTAGTGTAGTAGTATTTGCAAATTCTTGGAGTACTTAGACTTTCTGCACTTGACCCGTTCATAGGTCAAAATATCTTTTTATGGAATATCTTAACCAAAGTCAACAATTTTTAGTTATTATACTTAATGTGTATCTAATTTGAGTATTCTCAACCTATCAGAAAAATATTATTTCTTGAGTTTTTTTGGACTTCGATTGTGTATCAAATTTTATTATCTCAACATATCATATCAACATATCATACAGATCAACTGGACCATCAAAAAAAGTCAAAGTTGTTTCTAAAGATTTTTGGATTGTACAAAACATTTTTTCTGAAATTACAAATTGAAAATAAATTAATTATGTTAAAGTCCAATTAGATTTATCTGTTGCAATTCCTTACCATAAATCTTCTTAGCTGTGTTTATGATTTAAGAGTTATGTAACACACTTTATTATATAATAGCATAATTGGTACTATGCAATCAAGTATTTTGGTATAATGAGAATCTTCTTCAACTATTGCAAATATCCATTCACAAATCTTAAGGTTGGACTATATATACAATACAAATTATTTATATTGATTAATTTCCGGTTAACGGAATTCTGAGATGAGACAATAATGGGATTTTATTTTCGCGACAGTGAACAAGACTTAAGAAATAAAGATCCTAAAGAAAGAGTGAGATAACTGCTGTAGATTATAGTTTATATAATCGTTTATATACATGCTACATTCGTGCCGAGATAAGGTTTCCCTGATAGGTGGACATGTATCATTGATAATTGAAAGCGATATATTACAACAAAAAAAAAACTTTACACATTCTAATATGGCGGGAATCGAAATGTTCGTTTGCCGAACGAATTGCAGCTCGAACAGAAAATAAAAAATACAATCAATTATATAAAATTCAATCGAGTCGAATTCAATGAACATCAATTGGAACCTCCGAAGAACGCTATCCTATTAAAACGCGTTGCCATATAATCACTCAATTTGCTTCAGTAAAAGGGACTCTGTTGCGTGTGCTATATACTGCATGCACGCACCGAGATGGATACAGACAGCATACCGA